GTCCTGCACCTGGGTCAGGGCAACCCCCGGTATCAATCCAGGCTGGGGGATGGAGGGATTGAGAGCAGCCCTGCCGGGAAGGACTTGGGGGTGCTGGTGGGTGAAGAGCTGGACATGAGCCGGCAATGTGCGCTCGCAGCCCAGAAGGCCAACCGTACCCTGGGCTGCATCAAAAGCAGCGTGGCCAGCAGGTCGAGGGAGGTGATTCTGCCGCTCTGCTCTGCTCTGGTGAGACTCCACCTGGAGTACTGCGTCCAGCTCTGGAGCCCTCAGTATAAGAGAGACATGGACCTGTTGGAGCGGGTCCAGAAGAGGGCCATGAAAATGATCAGGGGGATGGAACACCTCTCCTATGAGGAAAGGCCAAGAGAGTTGGGTTTGTTCAGCCTGGAGAAGAGAAGGCTCCAGGGAGACCTTATTGCAACCTTTCAATACTTAAAGGGAGCTTATAAAAAAGATGGTGGCAAACTTTTTAGCAGGGTCTGTTGTGAGAGGACAAGGGGGAATGGCTTTAAACTAAAGGGGGGTAGATTTAGACTAGATATAAGGAAGAAACTTTTTACGCTGAGGGTGGTGAAACACTGGAACAGGCTGCCCAGAGAGGTGGTGGATGCCCCATCCCTGGAAACATTCCAGGTCAGGTTGGACGGGGCTCTGAGCAACCTGATCTAGTTGAAGATGTCCCTGCCCATGGCAGGGGGGTTGGACTAGATGACCTTCAGAGGTCCCTTCCAACCCAAACTATTCTATGATTCTATGATTCTATACTAGGGGGTGGAGGGAGAGGAAGGTGCCTTGCCCTCCCTGTTATAAATAAAGCCAGGGTCGGGGGGGAGAATAAACATGGATGGTGGGGTGGAAGAGAATAGCCAGAAAGGTAAAAGAGCTAAACAGTACGAAAAGTTCCCCTTAAACAATGGCTGTGGGGTCATTACCACTATCTGAATGCTGGGGCAGAAGAACCATTCCCAAACAATCAGTTGGCCAGTGAGCTAATTAAGAACAATCACTAGCAGGGAGCTTGCAGACTCAGTGATTGGCTTTGCAAAAGACACTAGAAAACCCAGGAAAAGAAATGGGCTTTGTGCTGCTCCGGCAGCAATGGGAAGCATGATTTTGTTCTTTAACAACATTCACTGGGACTGTACTGACCTGGTTCCTGCAAGGACCTGCAAAGAGGAAGCCCCCACTTCACAAGATTAGGAGTTGCACATAAGAGGCCCAGCCAATTCCAGCAATCAGGCCAGGGAGGGAAAGGTGATATGAATTTCCCCACATTAACAAAACAGTGACATTTATTACTGAAGTGGAACAAGCAGACATGTAAAGAACATGCCCCAAAAGGGGAAAACTCAAAGCTAGAGTTCCAAAAGCTTCTGAGCAGCAAAGCATTTCAAGTGGGCCCCCATCCTCGGCTGTGCTTCCCACCATCCCCTTCCCCTGCTGCGGTTCCCTGCCGCTTCCCCTCACACCACAGCGCGCTGGCAGCAAGACACCGATACACAGAGTTGCTGCCCTTCACCTCCAGCCATTCGCCCTCACCCTGCGGAGCAGTGCACCCTTTTTGCGGTTATTTCAGAACAAGTCTGTAGTGCTGTCTGAGCAAATGGATCAGCAAGACAACCCAGTAACAGAGGATGCCAGTTCATTTGCGAAAGCTCTGTAAACATTTGAATTAAGAACTTAGGCCATATACAGCACATCACAGTATCTAATTAAATTTCACCTATAACTGTTGACCGAATTCAGTTTCAATATTGACATAATTTACATGTGTTGTTGAGAAATATGTCTGTGGTACAAACTAATGACATCAGATTTTAGATTAAAATGCACTGGATTCATTAAAAGTAAGATCTATGCACTTACATATTCTGATTACAAAAGCACTATATATGAAGCAGTATTTTATATAAGAGCAAGGATTACTACTTTTAAAGCTCATTGAAGAAAAATCAAAGACTAGAGATGTACATCCCTTATGATCAAAGCTATGGACTCCTCAGCTAAAACGTCACAGAGAAAATCTTCGCTCTGTATCTTTTGCTCTTTGTAAACAAGAGTTTACGTGTAGACTAAAAGTAAAACCTCTCCACTTTTTTATACAAATCTGGTTATTTAGAAGTTTTCAAAGATCAATTCATTCTGCCTCTGGTTTAAAAACTTTACTCCTAATCCTTTCTTCCCCAGAATTCAAAGTGCTAATTTTATGTAGGTAGCACATAAAATTATATTAAAACAGCAAGTTTGCAAAACTAAGAGCTCAGTGTTAGTGAATTTTAGGGTTTATGCTCAGCTCTGACCTTTAATCCATGGGCTTGGTGACAGCCTTTGATAACACCATCACAAGCCGTTTTTCCAATAAAATTCCCATTTCTCTGAGAGCACAGGCTGGACCTGCTCTGGTGTGAACCACCATAGGCAAAACAAGGGAAGCCTCTCTCTGCAGGTCTGCTAGAAAAGCTGAAACAGGTAGGCAAGAGAGTCAGGGGATCAGGGAAGAAGTGAGGGTGATCTCTCAGCTGAATATCTACCCACTTTCTCCCAGAAAATTATAACATGCACCCAGGCAATCCTCAGTAGCCAGATTTTGCATCTGCAGTCACTAGTTCATGCTTCCCACTTTCTGAGTGAATCTCTAAGTCTTATTTGCAGAGATGCTATGCACTCAAATATAGCCAGGTACTCCATGAGGCTGCATTTAGAGTGATATGACACCTTGTTCTCTAAGTACTCGAGAAAATAGAAAAAAAAAATCAAAATCAGGTTTGCAGTCTCAAAGTTATCGCGAAGTCTAGGGTATCTCAAAGGTACTCCAACAAGTCCTTTGTCCTAAGCCCTTACATACCTTAAATCCCAGTCTATAAAACAGGGACAGCATCCTGCTCTCCATTTCAGAAACCTGTTAGCAAAGTGATTTCGCTTTTGTTTATAACACACTCAGACGAGCACCATAAGAAAGCCTGCCAAAATTAAAAACTCTGCCTTCAGGCAAGGGCTTGAATAGAATGGAGTCATGTGGTGAACAAGAAGTAAGTGAGTGTTGTCGTTTTTGGCACATGGGTAAGTTGAGAATACAGGACAGAAGGGGGCAGGTGCTCATGTCATTAGTTCACCATAAAGCACATGTACAAGAAAACGGTTACACCAACAGCCTGATCCTAGCATTTCTTAGGGGCATTAAAAGAACACTATGAAAGTTGCACTGCATGTACAATTTTCTTGATTAAAAAATAAACATAAGCAGCAATGAACTACGTCCGGCAGTGTCACGTTGACACTTTCATGGCTGAGTTACATGCCTGTGCCCTCCCACGGCCAACATTGTTTCTCACACCTTGTCCTCAACGTGCTTTGTTTTTTTTTCCCTTCAGGATTGCAACTGCAGACAGGTTCCCCTCCTGTACCCTCTCACAACCCTTGGGATGTTACATGTCAGTGTCCCTGGACAAGTCTCTTCTGACTGAACACGAAGGCTGGGAAAGTTCAGAGGGCACTGTCTAGAAAGAATTTCTGGACCTCCAGATACCCAGGCAGAGCACAGGCCTCTTGTCCCTTGGCTGCCAGACACCTGGAAACCCAGATCCAGGCCTGCTGTAACACATTCAATTTGTAATCCTGGGCTCAGCACACCCCAATTTTTTCTCAGTTTAGTTTTCGTCTCTTTCTGATTTTGAAACATGCAGGTTTTCTTCTTTACACTGCCTATGTGCCAGCATTATGAGGAGGAAACGGAGGGGTTCTCATTTTCAGTGCTGCTACCTCCTAGCCCAGTCCTATCTTACAGCAGTTTGGCGCTCACACAGCTGGGAGGAGCCCTCTCCTTTTCACCATAAGCAAGGCCAGGGAGCAGCCATGGGCAGTTAACACAGCTACCACGTGAGGTCTGGCCCTCCCCTCCCTCATGCCCCAGGACCAAGTGGCCGCTGAAGCTCCCTGGCCTATTCCTACCATTTCTGCCCAGGATTGTGGAGAGCATCACAGCTATGGGATCACTCTGTCCACACTGTCACCCAAAGGCCACTAGATCTGGTAAATCAACCTTCCTTTAAAACATCATAATAACGCTTACAGATCGTATTTACTGAGAGGCCATACTTACCAATGGCCATGACCAAACAGATCGAGTTTATTAAATATGCCACTATAATAGACGCTCTCACAGTCATTCCTGTAACTCTTCCAATTTATCATCAGTTGGAAAGGACGGGAAGTACAGACACCAGGACTGAGCCGTTTTCCCTCAAGGGCCTCATTACTGCCACAAACTGTTGTGTTCCTCTGCTTAAGCATCCAGTAGTTCTCACTTTCTCAGCTACATCATGGTAGTAAGAAGTCATTTCTGCCAAGTATATGTGAGACCTACAAGTGCCATCACAGAGTCTTTTCCGAGCAAGCTTGAAAAGCAATAAAATCCCCAGTTTATGAACAGTGATGAACCTTTTCTTTTTTAATTCCTTCAGTGTACTGGTGTTAAAATGCATGTTGTTCAAATGAACCCACCAAGCTATCCAAAGCAGCCTATCAGAATGGATCTTTCCTAATTAATCATTTTCTACTGTCACCACTTTGTCAGCAACACTTTTTTCATATTAATAGAGAATACCACTAAACAACATCTAATAAATCCCTGCAGGACCTCACTAATTAGAATTCTCCATGCAAAATATTTTTGTTGCAGCATCAGTTATCCAGCGTGTAATCCACATAGCACAGGCTCTATAAGATGATGTATAGCGCTCAAGTTCCTACACT